TTCCAACCAACCTATCTGTCCTTCCTTCCCCTCCTCCTTCCCTCCCTTTTCCTTCCTTCCTTCTTTCTTTCCTTTCTTCTGCCCTCCCCCTCCCGTTCCTTCCTTCCCTCCCTCCCTCCCTTTCCTTTCCCCCCTTCCCCTTTCTCCCTTCTTTCCAACCAACCGATCTCTCCTTCCTTCCTCCTTCCCCTCCTCCTCCCCTCCCTCTTTTCCTTCCTTCCTTCCTTCTTTCCTTTCCCTCCCTCCCTCCCTCCCCTCCTCCCGGCCGCCTCTTCCCCTCCCCGCCCTTCCCTTTCCCCGACGAGGGCCGGGCGTAGAGTCACACCCATCCCGGGCCGAGGTACAAGAGCCGCAGCCGGGCGGGGAGCGTCCCACTCGCTTCGTTCCCGCGGCAGGGCTTCGTCGGGAGCCCGCTGGCCAGGGCTCGGTCGCCGCCACCAGGAATCCAGGAACCGCGTCGGGGGCTGAGGGCGTGAACACCGGGACGGCGCCTGGAATGGCCGTGCTGGGCAGCTGAGAGCCTCGGACCGACGGCAGGTGAGGGCGGGGGGCGCGTCTGGGGGGCCCCGGAGCCCCGTTTCAGCTCCCCCCCAAAACAACCCCCCCCCTCGCGCGCGGACTCCGGATTCCAGGCGGAGACCCGAGTGGAGCCCCCGCAATAGGTCGCCCCTTGCAGGAAAAAGCCTCCCGCCCTCCTGGCCGCCGCCCCGAGCAGTCCGGACGGTTCTTCGAGCCCCCCCCCCCCGCCCGCCCCGCTCTCCACGTTCCCTGCGGGCAATTGGTGGGAGCGTTTGGCCCCGTGGCGGGAGGGGCGGGGGCCCCCCCGGGGCTTCGGGCACCAGACTTGGTCCGGCTCGAGGGGGTCCCGTCGGACTGGTCCGAAAAGGGGGCTGCGGTCGCGCCCCTCCTTTGCCCTAGAGGCTGGACACGCTCCCCCCCCCTCCACCCAGCCGGGGCGGGGGCTGAATCTGAATCTGGAGCGGGAAAGGGACCCCACCCCCCCGCCCCATATAGCCCTTGAGAAAGCGGCTGGGGTGGGCCGCCAAAGCCCCTCCAACCCCTCCGTGCAGGGCGAGGGGGGGGGCTTCCTTTGGGGGGGGGCGGTGGGGGAGACCCTCGGCATGGACCCGTCGGAGGAAGTTTGGGCTCCCCGAAAGACTCGGGGCTTGGCAGGCACGCGCAGGCCCGGAGCTGATGTGGCTGGGCGGGCCAGCAAGGCGTTGCCTCAATCCGGAGTGACTCCGCTTCGGCTGGAGGCTTTCTCGGCATTCCCGAGGCAACGGGGAGGGGCTCGGACACAGGTGGGCTTCCCCTGAGGTTGCTCCTGAGCGGGGACCCCTCTCCCCCCCCCTCTCTCTCTCGGGACTGGCGTTGGTTTCTCCGCGTGTGCACTTCGGGACAGGGCGCGGCTCCGCTTGCAGCCTTCGCCCCGGAGTGGCGGAACGGGGCGGCCGCTGGTTGGCAGCTGTGCAGAAGAGCCCAGAGACGGGAAGGGGGCTTGAATGGGCTCGGAGCCCCCTTCCTTTTCCTTTGCAAAGCCTCCCACCCCCCACCGCTGCTCTGCTTTTGCCGGAGTGACTCCGCTCCGACTTCGCTTTGGAAGAGCCTCGTGGAGAGAGAGAGAGAGAGAGAGAGCAAAGGAAGGAAGAGAAAGAGAAAGAAAGAAAAAGAGAGAAAGAGAAAGAGAGGGAAAGAGAAAAGAAAGAAAGAAAAAGAGAGAAGAGAAAAAGAAAGAAAAGAGAGAGAGGGAAAGAGAAAAGAAAGAAAAAGAGAAAGAGAAAAAAAGGAGAGAGAAAGAAAAAGAAAGAGATCCCCACTTCCCACTATCCCCCATTCCCCACCATCCAGTCAGAGCTGAAGAAGCTCCTTGGTGAGAAGCGAAACGTCTTCAAAAGAGAAAAAACAAACGCAAGAAAGTCCAGTTGCCTCGTAGAAAAAAAAGCGCTTTTGGGAGAGAGAGAGAGAGAGAGAGAGAGAGGTTTCGGTCGGTCCCGTGGGAAGCCCAGCGGCCCCACCCCACCCGCTGCCCCCCTTCCCTTCCCCACCCACCCCACCCTCCCATTCGGATCCAGCCAGCAGCACCCGGAGTGCCGGAGCCACTCCACTTCGCTTTTGTTCTGCAAAGTTTGTTGGCTGGGTTTTTTTTTTTTTGGTTTTGTTTTTTGCAGCCCTTCTTCTTCTTCTTCTTCCTTGGCTTCTTTATTGCACACTGGCGTGAATGTGGATTGCGGGCGGGGCAGGCGCTGGATCCTGGCTGGGTCTGGGTCCCCTCTGGGCGGGGAAGCGCTCCCTCCCCTTCCCCACCCCGCCCGCCCCCCCCCCTTCCCTGCCCTTGGGTCCCCGCCAGCCCTCTGGAATGCGCTGGGTGGAAAGACTGACGAAGGCCAGCCGCGCTCCGAGGGGAAGGGCTGAGCCCGTCCGAAAAAAGAAGGCTCGGACGGGGGGGGGGGGGGGGG